ATTAGATTAGATTCATATTATCGATCATATGTTATGGAATGTGATATAAATAGTATTTAATTAGATATTGTATATATATATATATATATATATATATATATATATATTTGTATATTTGTGTTGCTTTAAAGAAATAATTAATTAAAAATCATGGATATGTCATATTATCCATGTAAGTCTCTTTTAAAATGCAAATTGTCTATCTTATCACTTTATATTTTAGTATATGTTTAATATTTTAATTATAATAGTATGTGATTTTTAAAAGTTTTCTTTCACTTAATAATAATAATAATAAATGGTAAATTAGAAAAATCATGGATATTTTATATTATCCATGAAAGTCTATTTTGAAATGTAAATTGTTAATCTTATCACTTTATTATTTAGTATATGTTTCATATTTGAGTAATAATATTTAGTTTTTCTTAAAAGTCTTCTTTAAATTATTAATAATAATAAGTGGTTTAAATTAGTAAACAATAATTTTAAATGATAATAACATCAAATTAAAAATTATGTAACATTAACTAAAAATAAATTGTATTCTAAATGATCATCATTATTGAAATTAGAAAATAATCACATAAGTAAAAAATTTAAATTAATCAATCATAATATTTTTTATAAATAATACTAAATATGTGATTATATTTAATTCTATTAATGAGGAAGGTGGGTTGATGTCAATGAATAATATTGTTCAAAATAGTTGAGATAAAATATATATAATTTAGCGTAAAAATATTATGTCAAAGTTAATGTCAATAAATAACCATTTTAAACATATATTTTTCAATATTTTAATAATCTATTTTTAACCTGCGACGCGGAAGGCGCGGGAATTCGTCTAGTTCTCACATATATTTTTGTTTGTAATAGAGTTTATAATATAGTTTTATTAATTATATTACATGAATACATGAAAATCTTTTCCTTTTTTTTAATTGCAGACCATGCAAACGTATAATCTTAATTATCCAAGCTTAATTAGTGCTTTCTGTGATTTTTTTTTTAAATATGATAATATTTTTTTATGTAAAATTAACGTCAAGAATGAAGCATCATGAACATAAATATTACCAAATGTATCAAGAAACAAGATTAAAAACAGTGGTTAGTATACACTAATAAAAAAACTCACATTTCTATCACGAAATCTAGAAACTTAACCCCATTTCAAGCTACACCCCTAATTTACAAAAAAAAAAAAAAAAAAAAAAAAAAAAAAAAAAACTTATTANAACATCTGGAGTTTAAAAAGTACTTGCTTATCAACTAAATCCAAAATCCCAATATCAGAAACTGAGCCATGTTCATTTGATCTTTTATGATCTTCTGTAGCAACATTCAAGTCCAAACTAATGGTGGCATCCTTTCCAAAGTCCTCAATGGTTTCTTCTTGATCGTTGTCACTGTATTTTCGCTTTAGGCTAGGAGAACATGCTCGTGAAATTGAATTGAAATTTTCACAGCTGAAAATGACAATGGCGTCTTTGAGAGGAACTGTTTGGTCACCGTTTAGTGTGATTACGCCAGTCTTGATTGCTTTCTTGATGCCTATTTGCGAATGGTAATCAACCTGCTCTACATCTTCCATATAGAACACACGGTTCGCCTTTTCTTGTACAGCTTCAGCAAATCTTTCGAGATAACTTTGGCCATGTTCATCTCTCGCCCTTTTGTTGCTAATGAATTCTTGATCGTCATCTGTGGAATCGGCTCGTGTTGCTGAGAACCTACTAATGCCAATGTGAACGATGTTGTTTCTTGATCCAAATACAATCTTGGCTAACTCTCTTGAAATCTTATCTTTCCCATGGTTGTCAGCACCCAAGAAAGATAACCATGTTTCTTCTTTTCCTTCTCTTTCCATTCCACCTGACCTGCATTGAAGTACTGTACTTGCTATTTCGGGAATCACCTCTCTTTGCCATGGTACAACTCTTTCCATTGCACTGCTTAGAATGTTTAAATTCTCAGAATTCACTTCTTTGAACTTGTGCAAGTAGTATTGATCACCATGATCGTCATCTTCACTAGCTTCACTACATGAAGCCGAATTTGGACTGGAATTTGGATTCGATAAGAGTTCAGGCATGAATGTTTTCGGATTGGGCTCCTCGAAACATTGATCAACACCGTTGAAGAACTGGTGTTCTTTCGGGGATCTGTTGGTTTCAAAAATCACGGGCCATGTGAGATGGTGTGGGTGCAAATTTGGTGAAGAAGCCATGGGCTGTTTGTGAAGTGAACTACATATTGAGTTCCATTTCTTGCAAAGATTCGCAACTTTTTCACAACCCTGCAACATTTATCGTATCGTTTTAGATCACTGTAATGATATTAGGGTTTTTAAGCATTTAGATTTATATATGCAACAAGAACCTAACCTCATCATTGGTGGTCTGTCTTGAGTTCTCTTCTTTGTATTGCTGGAGCCATGAAGGCAAAGTGGATCCAGTTGTAGTAGTAGTCATGGATACATGATTGGTGCGACTATAGCTACTTATGGTTCGAGCAGCCTCTCGCGAAAAGTTAACTGAACACTCACCACAACATGTGAGCATTTTCATCTCATTTCCTGAATCTTTATTGCTGATAAAAGAAAACCCACTTCAGAGATCAGTTTTTAACATGAAAAAGCTAATCTTTAGTGCAATAGAACAAAAAAGAAAGTAGAAGTTGTTACCTTTCAAGATTGAGGGTGAGGTCCAAGCTAGCAACAGGAAGTGTAAACGGACAAAGATCCCATAGTGTTTCGAGTGAAGGGTGACCTGTTTTGCACCTCATGTATGTTTGAGAATTAGCAATCCCCATCAACCACAACTTCCCACTATCAACACCAAACATGAGTCCACTAAGCTCCATGATCATATGCTCCATTGCAGAGTAGTAGTAGCTTCGGTTTAGCTTCCGCTCGCTGTGGTTTGACCAGTAATCCGAAACCCATTGGAGATCACCTAAGTAAAGAATTACTCCTCTACCTACGAAGCTTTTTACGAGACACCTAAGTTCTCTAACTTTATCTTCAATATCTTCCCTTGAAAGATGATTAAGTGAGTGTAAAGGAAGGCTTACAAATTGCATGAACCTCAAATTGATATTGTTTTCGGTTTCGAATTTGTCTATAACTCCTCTAACTATAGCATCAGCACTAGCTAGGCACTCTCTTATAACAACAATATTCTTTCTCTTTCTATTCGTCATCATTTGTATAGCACTCATCACATCTTCATCTTGGACTTTGGCTAAAGATTTGGGCTTGATGTTCTCTTTTGATTGAGAAAAACTAACGGGATTAGGGGAAGAAATAGATATCTCCATTTGCTCAATGTTGCTTTTGACTTGGGTGCTAGAAAAACCGGCTTCTCGCATGACTCTACTCACACTAGGATCATCCAAGATGGATATAATGAGTTGTTCTATCTCTACTTTAAGAGCTAAAATGGGTTGTTGTTGGTTTTCAATAGAACCACGGCGTTGGTGAGCCTGTGCACGCTTGAAGGCTGCCACCAACGCGTTAGAAAGAGAAGGGTGGTGAGATTGAGTAGGGTTTATCATGATAGGGCTAGACTGAGAAGTAGGGAGGCGATTCAAGGCAACATTGAAGCAAAGCTCGAGAGCTTTGCAATGAAGAGGGTGAGAGTTGGGTTGCAAACAAGCCTTCCTGAGGAGGCTTGTTGGTGATGCCAGCATCGCGCTAGCAACATGGAGAGGGGTGACCTGAGCATGGCCTCTTCGTCTAGCAAGGCCAAGAGCTTGTTTTACAACAGTAGCGGCTGCGGGTGTTAGTGTGTGTTGGATTGTGTAGCCTCCAGCCCTCATGGTTCTCTACGGTGTCTGAAGATTTGTGAAAGTATATAGGGTTCAAGAAATGGTTAATTATATGGTATTGTTTTTCATGTGGGTTTGATCTTGAAAGTTGGTGTGCATACTGCTTAGGCAAGTAGTGGTGATATGTGGTTTATAAGAAGAGGACTAAATAAGTAGTGTGAAGTGGGGCTTTTGTGCTTTTCTTGTAGTTGTTAGTTTTGTATGTGAAAGTGGAATGCATGTGAAGCAAAGCAAAGTTCCCCTCTCATAAAAAGACTGATTTAAGCTTTACCATTATTATAATAAACGGAATTATAACGATTATTCTTCTATCTTATCTAGTTTTCTATAACAAGATTTGTCTTACTTTGATAAATGTATTACAGTCGAAAATCGTAAATAAATAATACCATGAATATAGACATCTCTCTCTCTCTCTCTCTCTCTCTCTCTCTCTCTCTCTCTCTCTCTCTCTCTCTCTCTCTCTCT